CTGCCATGGGGAATGCAATACACCGGCCTCATAAGCCTGAAGAATGAGAACACTTAGCCACAAGGAGATCTTGTTATGGCTAACATCTGTCTGCGAGGTTATCCCAGGTGTGTCAATCATCTCCGTAGGGATGGAGACATTGACTGACGAACCGGTAACACAAGACCGGATGAAGCTGGGGTTAGATGTGCCACACGTGTCCAAGCTAGCTAGGCATGTGTGAAGGCGCCTGTAGAGACGCCTGTGAATATGCAAGGGGATGCGGCTGGAAAGGTGCTTGTAGAGATGCTGTAGGAGCCGGGGGACCCGAGACTGTTGGAAGATGGAAAGCCCAAAGCCCGGAAGCACTTGTAGTGTAGACTGCATAGGTGCTACTGGTACGTCTGCTGCTGAACCCGTGTGGAAACGGCCATTCCGGGCGTGACTGGGTGACCCAGCTGCCGCAGTCGAGTAGATCGACGTTGTTGTGGTCAGCATCGGTGCCCAGGTGGAGATGATGACAGAGGTGGTGGGTGACAGGGATGTCTACTAGGACTGGGACGGGTAACTCGGGTACTCGGGTCGGGTAGGTACTGAGTAGGACCCGGGTACCCACAGGACTACCCACACCTGTGGTTAGTCATGTGATATATTGTTTCATGACAAAAATTCACAATATAACTACATGGTGACACGACAATTTTAAGTCTCTAATGTTCGCATTTCTTCATGACTATGAACACGTTCCTTCTGACATATATGTTTGAAGCTAAAATGTCAGTCAACTTCAGTGTATGCATGACCACATCATTTTATACATGTATCCAAATACATTCCGCCAGGGCTACTGTCAAACTATTCCCAATCGGACATTTTGTACCCATCTCTTGACACCAACAGCGGGTACCCGGGTAGGGTCGGGTAATAGGGGTGTGGGTACCCGGGTAGTAAAGTTGGACTCGTCCCAGCCCTAATGTCTACAGGCAATGAACAGCAGTGCCTACAGGCAATGAACCAGGATGACAGGCGATGTAGCCAGGAGTAACAGGCTCCAATATGTGCGACATTTTCTGCTTTCGTTTATGGGCCTGCTGGGTCTTTTGATTATGAGATACCTGGGGATACCCGCCAAAAGCTGTGGGGGCCAGTCTTTACAGCATGTAGACTGGGAGCACAGGGACGTACAATTTAGGCACAGGGAATGGGGATCCCACGCTGATTTGTAACATCGGCACTTGTTACAAGATGGCATGTTATTTGCAATGAAGCAGAGTGTAATCACAATGCGTTTCCCCCTGATTATGTGTGCTATAATCTTTTTTCTCAGCCATGTAGGTTTATGAAAAACAAGTTTATGAGAACACCCAACAACACTTTAAAAACAATATAATTGCAAGAATACTTCAATGATGAAGTACCAGGCAACAGAAAAGAATACAGAACACAAGTCACGGTATCACATGGCCACGTAAAATATTAAGGATGGCTACTTGAAACAACAGGACACCTGATATTACTGTGGTGAAAACCGCACCAACAGGTGTCAAATAATTATGCTATGGCGTAAATCCTATGAAATATATGAAGATACAAAACCGGAAAAGTCCTTAAACACACAAGGGTTGAACAAGTTTATGAGAGTTAAAAAACACAGGTCCTGCTTCTGTGAGTGACAGCAGTAATGTGCTGATCTGTGACATCATCACTTCTATGGTCACGTGGGAGGTGTGTGATAGGGCTGTCCTCTTGGGTAGTAATGTTGATAATATACCGGAGTGTTACCTATTCTTATATTTGTATTTTGCCATAACGGTTGTGATAATTTATCTTTTTCCTCTTTGATAGAATTACCTTTTTTTCTACTAAGCTTCCCCATGCATACAGAACATCTATCCTGAATATATTGGTCCTAATATCAATAACCCTTTCCGAAATATAGAATTGGTATTTCACAGAATATCAGTTTGTGTTGGTGTTATACTATTAAAAAAATGGTAAGTTTAGAGTGTGGCTGTGATGGAACAAACACTGATTGTATTTTAAATATCAGACACTCTCATATCTCCCTCTGCATAAGATTTTACTGATTTTGTCTGGTTTACTTTTCCATATAAAATGAAAAGCACAGGGTTTCTTTCATAAATCTTTCACTTGGATTAGGTAGGGTTAAGAAAAGGTGGGTTAGTTTTGGTAAAATAAGACTTTTTAGTACAGTAATTCTACCTAATGGGGTCAGGTCACGTGCTAACCAAGAGTCCATGATGATTTTTATAGTTTTACCTTACTTGACGCTACACAGTGCTTTAGCTTCCCTACCTTATACAAACAGACAGTATTGGAACGAAGAAACAGTTTAAACAGACTTAAAGCCTGTGCCTCGGCATCCACGAGTTATCCCTCTTGGCCCCTACTCCTCATATATTCTTCTCTGTCTGCCCTATCGCCAGACCGTCACCAGCACTCGCCAGCTATTGCTTGATCGTCGCCAGCTTTCGCCGGACCATCGTTAGCTCCATCAGTCGCCGCCAAGTCGCCAGGACGCTTTTTCGTCTCATACTGTTAATCTCCGACCATCGCCACTCAGTGCCCTTTGTCGTCTGGTGCCCTTACATCACCTCGTCTTCCTTCGGATGATGATCAACATTTTGTACCAGACTATAACGAAGCATCTCGACCAAGTCTCTCACTCCTGCAGATACACTTGCTTGGCTTGTGGAGCATCTCCCTTGTGCCTTGCCTGGGCAAGGCGCCTCCCCCAAGGTGGAACACAAAGTTTCGGAGTCTGGAGAAGTTGTCCTCCCACGTGACCAGTTGGTCACTGATGTGGCCAGCTCATTAGACACTGCTTTTACAACACTGCCTGTCCAGCTGTCTATTCAAGTCCTGAGATTCCGCAAGGAGCATTACCCTTTCTACTCTATGGATTTGCCAATGTCTACCCTCCTGTTGATGAAGATCCCTTCCACCCTCTTTCCAGACAATCTCTGCTGAGATCTCTTGTAATACAGTCCGCTATCCTGAAGGCTTATCGTCAAGCTGACTTACCACCATCAACAGCCTCCAATCCACATGAGATTCGTGCCCTGTCCTCTTTGCTGGCCCTCCATGCTAACGCCTCTGTCCGGTCCATCATGGAGGGGTGCTTCTGGTCATCTACTGCTGTCTTTGCCAGCCATTATCTTCGCAACATTTCTGTGGAGTATGTCAAGGTTACGCATAGCTTTGGACCACTTGTACTGGCCTCGCAGCTGAACAAACCCCCGACGCCGTTGACTGTGCCATTTCCGAGGAACGAGGCTGTCTGCGTCCCCACTGGCCCTGCTGACGCCTCTTGCCAAGGTAGGACCATCTCTTATGCTGTTCCTCTTGGGTTGCTAGGTAATGTTCTATCTGTACCTAGTAAAGTTTTGGTCCTATTTTACCCCCTCTTTTTGAGACGGACAGGGAATTGCTTTTACCCTCTGTTCTCTCTACCTTCAGACCACCATTCTGTCTGTCTGTATAACGTAGGGAAGCTAAAGCACTGTGTAGCGTCAGGTAAGTGAGGGGGTGAGTGAATGAGTTGTGTTTAACGCCATTTTTAACAGTATTCCAGTTATATCAGGGCGTGTCAGCTTAATGTGGGAGGAAAGCCCAAAGAGATGCAGGTCTTAGACGTTTACCACTTCGGTGAAATCCACGAGTAAGGTATGGTACTGACAAACCTAGAAACATAATCGGGGCAAACCAGGATTCGAATCCACAATCATAGGTTTCCGACGTGCCCAAGGGCGCAACTCTGCACAGCAAAATGCGGCACCTTAGATGACCACCCGTGCCCCCGCGTCAGGTAAGTATGAAAACATTGCATTTAATAAGAAATGCTCATGTTTGTTTTTGTAATTTCTTTCCGCCATTTCTGCCAAATTCTGAGCAAAAATAATACCGAGAAGAGAAAAACATTCTTGATCAATCTAAATTCCAACTTTTGCAAATAGTTTTATCAGAGAAGAGTTGTGAGCCTATCCACAACACTTGCATTTTGCTTGTGTTAATATTTAGGCCTGAAAAAGACGCATATGTTTAAAGAGCTATCATTGTGTTTCGGAAACATTTTTCAGTTCCATCTAATATGAGAGATGTATTGTCTGCGAATTGGGAAATTAGATATTCTATCTCATCAATACTTATTCTGTTTATATTTTTATTAGTGCATAGCATTATTGACAAAATTTCAGTACATAACTCGAATATATAAGGAGATAAAAGGTCACCTTGTCTACATCCTCTTGTTACTTTAAAAAAATCTGAAGCAAAAACACAAGATTTCATATCAGGATAGAAGGTTGTTATCCAGTGCTTAACTGAAGGTCCAAAGTTAAAAAAGTCAAAGGTCCTTTGATAAATCCTAATCTACTGAATCAAACGCTTTTTCAAAATCTATAAGTAATAACAATCCTGGGATTTCCATGCATTCAGTAAAGTCCATAAAAAACTAATCTAGTGTACTCTTCTATGTATCGTTTTGACATAAAACCTATTCAATCCTCATTAATTATTGTTGGCAGGACATTTTTAATTCTATTTGCTATTGTTGCTGATGCTATCTTATAGGAGACATTTAAAAGTGAAATTGGTCTCCAGTTTTTTAAGTGCTGCTTTGGTTTGTCTTATTTTGGAAAGCATGTTATTAGACCATGTCTGGAGTACAGTGACAGTCTACAGCAATCTTTGTATTTACCTTTGTATCTATTTGACACATTTTTACAATCTCTACCTTCATGTTTATCATGAGCTGTTTGTTGTATTGCTGGTTACAACTGGTTGTTGTATGCCTGTCAGTGTAAACATGAAGTCACACATACTAAATCAAATTGTGTATAGATCTAGGCCTACATCCTATATGATAAATAGTGACAATTTTTTTTATAAGAATTGACTTTCACTTTGTGTGAGTTCATAGAGTGGGGGCTTATCTCACTGAATAGCAAATACTCGCAAAACAACAACTGCATAAGACTAGATACTTGCTGCTGACTGACCTGAGTTTGACTGCAAGAGGCACAGTATATACAACAGCATTGATCTGGAAAACGCATATGAAGAAGTTCCGGAAATGCTCAAACATCTCAGTGAAGAAATACCAGAAAACTCCAATATTGGGGCTGAGATCAGGGACAGTCAGGCTGAAACACATGAACACATGTACATACAGCATCTACAGCAACTACATAGTAGTTCGAAGCCTATCAGGCTTTGAATCAGCAGTTTTTTTCAGCTCTCAAAGATGAAACTTCTATCTGAAGCAACATGGAACCAACCAAGTGGAACTGACTCTGTCCCTGTGGGGATTCTGGGATAGAATTAGTCCAAGTACAAGATATCAGATACAAGTTATCTTTACATTTAATTTCACTAATAAACACTTAGTGTGCAGCAGGTGTTATAGTGAGAACACAATTGTAACAAAATAGTGAAATTGTGTTAGTTCTACCAATTTACCAGAGGATATTTTTCATAAAAAAACATAAAACATCAAGTATTTGTCCTTCCATAAATTATATTGAAAAGCATGCTTATGAACATTTTCTACCTCAATGAAATGCAATGCACAATTTTCAGATCAAAAGATGAAAACACAGCATGTCACTGCTCTCACTCTTCTGCAAAGATGGTCAACACCTTATCTACTTTTGCTGCTGAGTACTCAACCTACATGAATCCATATGTTGAGTACAGGAAGTCCCAGGAATTTTCCAGGCCATATGAGACTCCAATGAGTAGCAAGATGAAGATGAGGAAGCAGGCACTAGTGTACAGATAGCTGCCCACTGCCTCCGCTGATGTATAACAGGTGGCGTTTGGGTAGGCTCTCTGTAAATAGTAGATTGAAAGTTGACAGTTATGATCACTAGTGTGGTACATAACAACAATACTGACCAAATATTTCTTTAATTTCATATCAAAGTAGAGCCTTTACATTCGCATTATTAAAAGACTGTAGATAACCGTTCTACAATTTTTATTAATCCATCAGTTGCATAAATCACTGTAACAAGAACAAAGCAACAAGGCTCTGTAGCTCACCTGAATATTTGTGAAATATAATATCAGATTAGAAAGGTCATACAAGAGCAAAGAAGACATCCTCAGCATGCTCGTAGCATGTTCATTAAGTCACACATTGATACACTACCCATAACTAGCTATGAGGAGGGTCAAAGTTCCATTGCAGTTCCATACACTGTTCCATCTCTCCAAGCAAGTCAGTTCCTGTTTTGCAGAAGGTCAAATCCTGATCTGTCCGTGAGCCCCACACACCAACAACCTATTCTTGGGAATCCTCAAATCTCTCTTCAGAACTGGGATTATTTTTTTTACAAATTTGAAAACTCTTGGTAATCACTGAGCCAAATCTGGTAAATAAGGTGGATGGGGTAGAAGCTCTTATCCACATTCCTGTACAGCAGCCATCACAATATGATTGGGGTGAACCGGAGCATAGTCCTGATGAAAGAGAACATCACGCAAAAGTTTGCTGCGATGCTTTTACTGATAACTACAATGTGGGCTCTAGACCACTCCACTCTGGACCAGGTCCATGTCCTGAACACGTTTCCATGGTGGTCTTATGTTTTTTATCAATTATGTCATAGAGACAAAAAAAATACATTTGTATTATAGGTCATATCAATTAGCTCTATGCCAATGATTTGTTTGTTTGTTTATTTGTTTTTTAATGCTGCACTCAGCAATATTCCAGCTATATGACGGCGGTCTGTAAATAATCGAGTCTGGACCAAACAATCCAGTGATTGACATCACGAGCAATTACATGCATCAACCACGTCAGCGAGCCTGACCACCCGATCCCGTTAGTCGCCTCTTACAACAAGCATAGTCGCCTTTTATGGCAAGCATGAGTTCCTGAAGACCTATTCTACCACGGATCTACACGGTCTCTATGTCAATGAAGCTATTGCTAAAATTCTTTTTAACAGATTCTTAATATTTTCTATCAATAATACATGTATTTGGGTGTGCCATGAACAAATGTTACATAAAATTGGTGTGGATGGTGGGGGGCAGCAAAAAATGATACGGTCCTAAGAACAATTTCACTGGCCCCCTTACCCACCATTATAATTGACCAGATCCTAATGCCCTATCTTGTATTTACAAATGAGGACCAATGAGTGTATTTTTTGTAGCCTAGTCTAGTCCCATATCGAGGACAACCATCCCATATCCATTAAAGTGGTGTCTGGGTACTGTTTAATTTGCCATACTGACTTAAAGTCCAGTTTCCACCCTTGCCTAACTAGGCTGGAATTACTGGCGTCGATCGTAGCGCCACTAGTGGCTATTACCAGTTATGTCCCTTCTAAGCCTCTCCTATGGATCAATCAAGATTCCACCTCTCGTATCACTTGTGTTTGCTTCACACAAAATGGTGGCGCCCGGTCAGGACAATCTGATCGATAATCAAGATCTATATTGTGATAAAACGGATCTTACATCTTGAAATGTATCAAATCACATGAGCACCTTGATTAAAAACATGAAAAGATTTGGAAATTATCTGCTGACAACAAGTTGGCGGTGCACATGTTTTGCAAATCCTGCAATCGATCGAAATCTGCACGACAGTTTACGAACAGGATTTCGATTGTGGTGCGCGATTTTGATTGGACAATGCATAGACTCGTTAGTCCAGCCAAAATGTAACTCCATAATACCAGCCTAGTTCGGCAAGGGTGGAAACTGGACTTTTATAACAGTCAGTTAACTCTCTTGCCTCGGGAAGATGGGAATAGACCAGGCGTCGCACAAAGTCCTGTGGGATATCTGCTGGAGCATGTTTCGAGGTTCCTGGAATGTCTGTGGAACACATGGTTGACGTCAAAGGCGCTGATCCATCCCATCCCACATGTGCTTGACTGGTGAGAGATTAGGGGAGCAAGCCAGCCAGGGGATGACTGCATTCACGTTGTTTTGTTGAAGAGAATCCTGAACAAGTCCAGCAATATGAGGCCAGGCATTGTCATGTTGAAAGGTAATGCCTGGGCCATGACGACGCAAAAACGGTAGAACAGGGCCGATGATCTCGTCGCAGTAGCACTGTCCATTGAGATTTCCCTCTACCGCTATCAAACGGGTCCTCTGTCTTGCTGTAATTCCACCCCATACCATAACATTGCCGCCCCCGAACCGATCTTCTTCCATGACACAATGATTGACGTAACGTTCACCTCGACATCGGTCCACTCGAATCCGTCCATCGCTGTGGCTGAGGTGAAAACGAGACTCGTCAGTGAATAGAACTAGTCCTCACTGCATGGCTGTCCAGCGTAGACGCTGTCTGCACCACTGTAGACGTGCTTGACGGTGGTTTCCTGTCAAAATCGGATGTCTGGCGGGTCTTCTGGGTCAATCCCTGCACATCTGAGGCGACGATGTATGGTTTGTGAAGATATTCGTCAAAGGCCATGGATGCTTCTTGCAGTAACTGTTGCTGGCTGGAATCGATTTTGTAGGTGTGTTGTTTGAATCCAGTTGTCTTGTCAGTTATTGGTTACGCATGGCACAGACGCTCATTTTCGGACAGGCATGCTATTTCGTAATGTTGAATAATTGCGTAATTTTGTTGTTTTTCTGAGTGGTTGTTGTCAGCACAATGCTAAACAATGCAAATGGAATCCCGTTAACGCACGTTTTTATACCCATTCTTTGGTAGTGAAATGCATGGGGCTTGCATAAAAGTCAACTTTAGCATGGAATGCATGCTTTTCTGTAGCAGTTTGTGACTTGATTCCATACATGTACTACAATATTGAAAACCAAACAATAGCTACCTTCAAATCATTATTTCCCTTATTTTTTGTTGGTGGTATATCTTCATTAATGTACTTACAATTGCATTTTTCAATTCAGGCTGTATAAGATACTTAAGAAGTCATATGCTAACCATTAGGCTTAAAAAAATAAAAGAATTGGTTCCCATGCAATGACTTTTGAAAATATAGTGTGGGTGTTCTGTTTTGGTGGGATGGGGTGTACTTGTATGTAACCAAGTAAACAGCTGTGTACAATCAACCTGTGAAAGGGCCTCCTACATAAATGTATTCCTTGATGAACAAAATACTGGAATGGGTCCATTAACATAGCAAGGTCGACAGGATTTGGCTGAAAGATTCTTGGGTGTGGAGTCACGCCCGGTGGTTACCTCTACCTCTGGTATAGGATTGACCACAACCTCTGCTTCTTTGGGACTCATGTCTCCCTCGGCTTGGTCTGGAACGGAATGAACTCCAAGTGGAGGCACGAAAAGACTCACGTCCCGACGTAAGATGTCCGCGCTTAGGTGGATTCATGCGACTCTCTGGGTATCGGCCCACCGCTTTTCATTAAGCTTAGAAGCCAATGAGATAGTAGAGTTTTGGAATCTCTGATTGGTGGTGCCGTGTAATCTCATCAATCACAGAGGTTAGTCTGCCGTTGAAGAACTGGGGCGCCAATATCAACAGATTCATAGTGGATGTGAGATATTGTGTCTAACCTGTTAAATACAGGTAAGATGATTTTGTTGAGTAAGCAGGAATTGTGTGGACATCCATACCAGCGCAGTTTGAGGATCTTCATGCATCTTCAATATGTTATCCAGCGCACTATGATTGAAACCAACTTGTTCCAAATTCATATCAACTTTTGTGTTACAAGGTTGGCCAGTAAATTCCTCACAATTAACAGGGCCAAGTACATGTCTGATGTCCGCTGCAAACCAGTTCATATACATGCTAATGTTTATCATCTGCTTATTAACAGTGTCAAATTCTTTGAATTTGTTCATCTCAACATTCATCCTAGTATTAGGGTGTCTGACCAGATAATCATCATCAATGGTAGGAGATGTGGGGAACGAACAATTGTGAGTTTTATAGCATTGTTTCCCTTTGTGAGGATAAGGAATCCTGAAGGCTCTACTGGTAGAGGCGTTTAACTCTGCTTTCATTTTTAGGACCACATTTTCAGTGAATGAAGGATAAGGAAATGTATGAAAACCTTCCCTCTTTTCTACAGGATTTCATAACCAGCCCGTTCAGTAAGCACCGGATCCTCTGTCTCATTGCTTGGTGGCTTGACAGATGGGATCAATTGATGGATTTTATAGAAAATCACTCTAAAAGAGGAGTCGTTTGGTTTGAACGTGAGAGTACTATTAGCATCCTCCTGAGAAGTGCCCGTAAAATCCTCTCGGTCGTACCCCCCAGCCTCTTGCCACTGTAGTGAGACGGTATCACGTGGTGTATTGAAATCTCTCTGCTACGACTCCTGGCTTGAGCTGCACGAGGATTTTGCTGTATAACTGTAATAGCTAGGAGATACACAACTGTCCTAGATATAGGCACGATTCTCACGTGTGATTGTGGATGAAGGAGCACGATTTTTGTAATGGGAACCTTTAGCACGATTTTCCTCATTATAAGGTTGATATGCCCGTCTGGTGTTTATCTTGTGTTCTTCTGATAAATGTTTCTTTTCCCGAGAAGCACCGGGTGAGGTAGGGCTGGGCTGTAGTGACCACTCTCCCTAGATACAATGCGTCTTTTGTCCTGTGAACTTTCTGACCTGTGACGTGTATGTAAATGGGACCTTTGTTTGCTATCTGAATCATGTGATCTAGATCTTGTCGTATCTTTCAGAGAAGCATGTTGTTTTAGCTTATATATATCCTTTGATATAGCTTGGAAACGTTTGTCAAACATTACGGACATGTTTGTGGTCAGCGATTGAGACCATTCACTCATACTCAGAGGGGAGAGAGGAATAGATTTGGGCTCCAAAGTTTCTTTAAAACCATGAGTGACCAAACT